GTTTGTGGGGGGGGCCTCGGTGGTGGTGTTAGACCCAGCCACTGGAATGTGCTTTCTCCCAGCTGGCTGCCCATGGAATCATCCCCAGCTGAGGTGGAGATGCCTTTCCCACTGAAAGAACCGAAAACCTGGCCGCGGAGCTCCACCTAGAGGTCCTCACGGGGGAGGTCTGAGGGCTCCTCACTCCCGAGGGCGTTTGGCAGAAGTTAATCTAACTCCCAGCTGAACCATGCTGACTGACTTTGCCCTTACTCCTTGGAGTTAAAAGCTTTTAATTTTTCTATAACTAAAAAAAACAAACAACCCCCCAAAAAACCCCAACCACATCGAGTTTATAAAACTTCAAAAAACGACTGATGCCCACACATCAGTCTTTCCACAAGATTTCATTAGAGATCACCACAAAGCACCTGCTAAAACAATGTTCTGCTCAGCCAAACAGCCTCACACCCAGCTTCTTCTGGGGGTGATGACCTTTCCCTCTTGTTGAACATCTCAATTTGCTGTGTCTCACAGCGTACGGTACAACTTTGCTACTCCTCCCTAAACATCTACCGGCTTGAGGCTGTCATACTCCTTTTTTTTTCTTGCCCAACATGCAAAGTTCTGCCGCAGGGACAATGCCAAATGCAGGAGGACAGCTGGAAACCCACGCACAAGACAGTGGTAGGAATCAGCTTTTTATTGATATGTTTACAAGAATTACCTAGCCAAACGTGGATTGCTTCATGCAGCAAGGTTGCTGTGTAGTAGGAAGAAAGAGCAAATAAGAGCAGAGGTACTTCCAACTTGTGTGCTGAAGGGAGTTATACGTACTGATGGAGATACATGTTGACAAAATCTAGAACTCCAATGGAGACAACAAGATCCCTATGTTGGAAGACAACCTTAAAATGTTTTAAGGCAACACCTTCTACAACTTTTTAGATGAAGTTGGATAAAAAGGTAATAAATAGCAACATAATAATAACCTCCCTGGTTTTGTAGCTCCCAATTTGAGAGTCTGAAATAAATGTCAAATCAGAGAGTTCCAAACGAAAAACATTTCTGTAAGATCAAGGTCTATAACAACAAGCTCACTCCAAGACTGCCATCTGTTCTCAGTCACTTTAATGTGCCTGTGGTATCGCCGTCACTAAAACACTGTAAGGTTTTTCCAAATACGTGCTACCTTAAGTTGAATAACTTCATGTGCATTTCTATTGGAAATGAATCAGTATCATAATAACTAGAAAAAAAATTTTGGAAAGCACTTGGACAGGTAAGGCAATGCGGCAGTAAAAGCTCTGACGGGACTGTGCCTGTAGCTGGATACTTACAGTTAACATGGCAAACATTAGCTGGCAGACGTTGAAAGCATGCCTCCAGTTGTGATACAAAACCATCCGATAATTTTTTCTAACAGTCAAAAGCCACCTACACAGCGTCTGAAATGAAAAGTACAAATTGTGCTACTGAATGTGTACAAATGGACAGAGCAGTGCCAAGACAAAAGCAGCAGATATCTCTGCAGCACAGATGGTTACCTCGTAGTCAATTTTAAATTTCTGAACCATTCCAAGTTCCATGAACATCCGCAGGGCTGCAGTAATCATGGCATCCACATCAAGCGAGAAGTCATCAAAATGGATATCATCAATGCCAAGCTCTGACACCAGAGGGATGTTTGCTGCCTGAAAATGCCAAAGGGAAAGGAAAACTTCCGATTCAAAACTTAGGTCTTTTTTCTGTGTCACTCTTAGAAGAAACCACTCATACGTCAGTTCCAACCTGCCAATACATCCCTTCCTTGATTTGAATGCCTAGCAATAAAAGTCTTCATCTGCCAAGCTAACAGAGTGGGGAAACAGCAGGAAGGAGAAGAACAGGGTATGAGCAAGAAATATGCTCACCATCTCAACTGGATCCTGTACATAGCTTTTAGACTGTGAGAGATGACCACGTTACAGCTAGTGCAGTAACACAATATATTCCAATGCAAATCACAGTGCTCTAATGCAAGAAACATCTGGATAGCCAGCAGCTGGGAATTTTAATTGCTACCATTCAGAAACACAAAGTAAATATACTGCTCTGCAGAATTTCTTTATCCAAATGTATGCTTACGAATGTACAGACAAGTGCCCTTTGCTTTAAGCTGTTCACTATACATTCATAGAACACTAAATAGAGCAATATGAGAAATGGCTAGCAGACATACTTTTCAAGGTAAAATAAAAATAATTTTCAACATGCTGATTAGTAAATCAAAAACAACAGCAAAAGCCTTACATTTTGCTTTGTCCATATAACAACAGATTTTTGTTCTGCTTGTAAGAGAGGAACGAGCTTTCCATGCACGCAAAAACAGACAGATGAGTGTTCAGGACAGGCTGATGCACAGAGCTGTGCACACAGATGTGCTGTGGCTTTCTCTGTGGCAGCACCTGCAGGAGCCAGGCATTGGTGCTGACAACCCTCCCGGGCTTGTTTGCCCTTCCTTATGCCCCTTCAAGGGTCATGACTTGCTGCTCGTCTCCCTGGAGAGGGCAGGTGGAGGAGGCTGCATGTGCTGAAGAAGCATCTGTTCCCTGTCTCTGGCGGTGAGAAGGCGATGGGTCAGGTAGAAACCTCACAGAGGGGTTGCATCCAGCCCCTGGGCCGTGAGCTGGACCATGCTGAATTAGTTATACCAGCATGGACTCACCTGGTGTGGCACATCCAGCAGGTGCTCTCTTGCATAAAATATCAGTTTATTCACAGAACTGTAAGTCCACCTTCACACTTACAGCTTCTACGTGGCTACCTTCTGACTTCCTTTTTGAAAACTTGTGGTTTTGAAATATGGCACTGTAACTACAAGTTACTGACACGTGAAAAGCTTTTTCTGACCAAAGGAAAAGTGCTGCCTTCATAATTACTTTGTGCAGAGATTAAGCTGATTTAGCTATGTCGTTTAAGAGAAGATGATGCCAACCTGCCATAAAACAGTATTAACATTGCAGTGTTATTTGCTGACTAGAAGAAAAGTCTTTTTACTTCAGCACCAAGTAAAGCATGCCAAACCCAGGGAAAGTTATGGCGTTATGCCAGCGAGATTATCTCGTATAGGAAATACAAGCTGCCCCATCAAGTCAAGTGTCATCCCAGGACACAGCTGAAGAACCTCTGGAGCATGCAGGCAGAGATGTAAGCTCTGATTTGCATACTTACTTTGTTAGTGTATTTATCCAGGCTGAATCGATTCAATAATATATTATTGAAACATCTTAAATTCTTCTACATGAACCCAACAGGAGTTACATCTTAACACCACTTATGATCTGGCTGAAAAGCTATGGTTTGCTTCTGATGTAAAGAAAGAAAATATAGTACAGGAATGGTGGCAGAGGGACTGTGCTGTCCAGACCTGCAGTGATCTTACAAAATGTGTGACTTTTTTATCATGCATTTATTCTGCAGAGCTTTGGGGGATACTTAAAATGCAGGCAAATATTTAGTCTACAAATATGCTCATTGCATAGTAAATATACTCTACAAAATGTCTCTGAGGAAAGAAATACATTTGTCTTACTCGCTTGTTCCTTAGAGAGAAGTTTAAATAAGAAAGATGCTGAAACAGAAGCACTTGATTGCAAGTGGACCTCCTTGAAACTGTTTTATCGAAACTATATTTACAAACCTACTGCTGCATTTTCATTAACTTTCAAGTGGGGTTTGGTTAAAATCTTCACATTTTTTGCCCTTTTAAAGGAAAACAGATATATTCCTTGCTATTTTTTTACTGGAAGTGAATACCAGCCTGTTACAATTCAAGGGAGAACTCCTGAAGCAGTTGCTCAACTACAATTGTTATTCCCTTTGTCAAACAGTGGAGAAATAACAATATATTCCCTACCTATTACAAACTGAACAACAGGATATTAACAAAGCAAGTCAAAAACAATTTCTTCCCACGTCAGTCTGAAACTTTAAATATTTATGAGGTTTTACATTCCTAAATTTAACAGGAGTGCCATAATCCAAAATAACTGCTGAATTAATAGCCAGGAGATAACATTTGTATAAAAGAACCATTTGCTTTACAACGGCAATAAAGGAAACAACAGAATTATGAGTGTTGAGACTAATTTGAATAATGTTAAAAAAATGATATGTTGTGGGGAGGCAGCAATATTCTAGCTGCACCTGGCATTGTCTGTCCTCAGTTTGTTACGCTGGAAATGCAGCGGTCCAGGGTTTATAGGAGAGCAGTCATTAAAACTTCATTTTTTTAATTACAAAGATATAAAAAATATTCATAATACAGCATATTAAAACATAACCATCCCTGAAATTTTGCTGCACTGCAGGAAAAATTCCAGCGGATTTCTTAAAATAAACAGCAATAACAACACTCTCTTCCAGGAAAACAGAGGGGATGAAAGTACCGTGACAATAAGAGGAAGGGGCAGGCAATTAAAATTCAAGTTACAGTGAAATTATTTTTTAAAGCACCCCAGTGATTTAGAATCACTTAAAAGGCTTGCTTCCTCTTGAACATTTTGAAGTTCAATTTCCCCTTTCTAGAAACAATTAAGAACATTATACTCTGAAGTCTTTTCACCCTGCGGACTAAACAATTTCGACACTCCTCATCCTTGAGAAAAATTCACATGACTCTTCTGTGAGTTCATGGTAAATTAAGGGCGGACGTGTCTCCTCTGGTCACATCTCCACACCCCTGGTACTAAAGCAAAAATCTGTCTTGAAAGGAACCACAAACACAAGTTGCGCTTAACACATGGAAGGCAACTGGTCTTGCCTAATAAAGTACAAACTCAGCAGTTACCAGACTGGAAAACTATCACAGATTCATAGAAAGTGTTGGGTTGGAAGAGACCTTTAAAGATCATCTAGTCCAACCCTCCTGCAGTGAGCATCTGAGTGAACACCTGTAACTAGATCAGGTTGCTCAGAGCTCCATCAAGTCTGAACATGAATGTGTCCAGGGACGGGGCAACCTGTGCCAGTGTCTCACCACCCTCATAGTAAAGAATTTCTTCCTAATGTCTAATCTAAATCTACCCTGCTCTATCACCACTTGTAGGTAGCTTGAAAAAGAGCATGTTGTGCCCTGAAAGAGAGCATAAAGACAAGGTCTGTGGCTACCCCATACTCTGGTGTGCATGGAATGCATACAGGAAGGAAGAAGAAGCACAGAAAGGAAGACGAAGCACTTTGTGCTCAATTCAGGACTGGAGACAGATTCTCCTTTCCTCATTGCTCTTTGCTGTCACGTAAATTGCTTCACAACCTGCTTGGTGTATGGGAACAGCAAGGAGACAAGTGACTGGTGGAGCCATGGCCAACGGACCATGTGTCATTAATGACCATCATGCTTCCAAATACATGCAACACCAAAGCAGCTTCTACCATCGAGAAAGCCTCAATTCTGACCATTATAAAAGACAGCCCATGGGAACAGAAAAATAATGTTTCTGGTTCACTATTAATAAGCCTGTGCATGAATAAAACCTAAGAAGTAAAACTTCAAGAAACTAAAGAGTCAAACTTCTGCTAAGACTTTGAAAGACTAAATGCTTGAATGAAGCTACCATTTGATGCTTACACCTCAGTGCTGCTGAAGACAACTATATCAGAATTGTAGAAGTACATATACAACATACAGTGCACAACTAGATAACAATAAACATAAGGATTCATACTATTCTTCTGGGCAATATGTGTTCATGTGTAAACATATGTCAGAAAAATGCAGTATAATATGCCCCCCCCCCAGCATTTTACTACATTCTTACTGTAAGGGCTGAATGAAGCAATCACAACCAATCAACATGAGCTAAAGGGGAGTCTTCTGCTGCTCTTACTGAACATACTTCTGACTGAGAGATAGGTTTCAGGTTCAGCTTGGTTAATGTTACCGCAAATTGCTTTCCTTTTAATCCTACTTCTAGTTTCTGCCATATTCCATGCTGGTACCTTCATAATGGCCAATACTGCTAAGAATGATCCCTTGGAGATGGGTGAAAGGGAAGGGGGCAAGTTTCCCATCCTGAATAACTTGCAGGTGTGAGCTGATGTAAGCTCATGATAGTCCTTCCAAACAAGGAAGAAACTTCATGGATTTCCCTAACGATCCACACAGCTTCGCAAACCAAACTTCCTGTGTAAGTCGGAAGCCTAGTTTTCCATATGTGAAAGTTATATTAAGCTAAAGTGTTCTCACTCCAGCTAGCCAGATGTACTGCCAGTGGAGAGCAGCAGACAGGTAACATACAGCCAGCATAAAAAATGGTCAGAGGGAAGTAACTCCTTATATAGGGAAAAACCTTATCATGTCAGCAACAAATACGAAATAGCAATTTGGATATTTAATAATCTACACCGGAATTTCATTATGACAGAGTCTGGGTGAGTGGTGGAGAGGGGGCAATTTCAACATGGTGATTGCATTTTGCCATAATCCTCTTATTCCACTCTCATTTCCTACAAATTGTATTGCTCTTCCCTGATAGGCAGTTTAAGGAGTTTCTTAAAGAGAAGATACCTAGAGTTCAAGAAGTTTGATTATAACAACTTCATCCAAGACTACATGTTACATAAAAACACAGTTTTTGATCCCAGTTGATACTAAGAACACAGGACAAAAATATAATTCAACCGATTGACAGGGAAGGCTTACTAAATGATT